TTTTCATATTATTCCCCACATGGTGGGTCTACTTTTTAAAGTCAAATACAAAATGATGGTATAGGTATCATATTCTGCACAATGTATGTTTGCTGAAGTTCCTCAGCTTCTCAAATCTTCTCTGGACAGGCACAATGACAAAATCATGTCATTTGCTTATAAATGCCAAAGCGAATACTGACCCTTTTCCTGTCTGGCATCTACATTTCCCGCCTTAGCATCGTGCACTTTGATGCACACTGACGATCTGGTCCATCCACTGAGGTAGGGCACTTCTGTCCAAGCAGAACACAAGTACTGATTATGCAGCTGTATCTCTATTTTTTCTAAACCCTTTCACTCTGGCCCTACAGGGACAAGCACTCTCAGGTTGGAGTGCCTTGTAAACTACTGTCGGGTTGAGAAATAGATGTCAGATTCTTTCCTTGTAAGGAAGCCTGAATGAATCATGCCAGCGGAGATTATTAATGATTTGGATTCCATCCACTTAAGTAATTTACTGTCATCATGAAGGAGTTAGGCAGAACAAGAACTCTGGGCTGCAAACCGACTCAAGTGTGCCAGTTAATAAGTGACTAGCTGAACCATCAAACTCTTAAAATTGCTCACCCAGGAGGATTGGGAACACCAGGATTCAACACCACCACTGTCTTCCCTCTCCTTCCATTGAGGAAAGAATGAAAGGACACAAAGGAATTCCTTCTAGCTTTCCAAATCAGCTGAGCATCCTGACTTCTTCCCTGCCCAGAGCTTAGAGCTCTGAGGGCTTGAGAATGAGGTGGGGACAAGGCGACGGAGCACAAGATGGAGCGCAGTGCGTTCACGCTGTGGCCGAGCTACCTGAGCCTGACTTTCTATTACTGCGTCACCCCAAGAGTCAAACCTTATAGGAATTCATGATGCAACAGTAAATTTCTCCCTGGATTAAATCAATGCTACAGACAGCATCCTTAGGGGATGTCAGTTTGGCCAATGCCAGGTCGTCACTCTCGGAATGGCTTGCACTAGAGGTGGGTTTACCCACAGTGAACTCAGACACGAAGACTTTTGAATCAGTTGTGTCAAATCTGCGTTTTCTTTCTATAAATACAAGGCCTTTTGCAAAAAGGGAGTGAACATGGGATTTTCCTCTAGGAGTCTTTTAACAATTGTGTCTAAAAAAAAAAAATCCATCCTAGGAGTCTCTCCTTTTATCCACACAATTAGGTCTTGGAAATATCACAGCAGAAAGGTCAGCTGCCGGATAAAAAGCTTCCCTCCTCGTTCCTCCTGCTTCCTCTCTGCTAAGTAAGAGAGCTTGGATTTTGTTTTCTTTCCACCAGACCAGAGAGCGTTCCCTCTGGGGGAGACCCGAGGTGTGGATTTAACTGGCTTTCGCCTCTCACGGCGGTCTGGTTCCTATCACTCAGCGATCAATTTAGGCGTGGCTGTGTGCCGTACTTCTGGTGGACAGGAAGGGGCATATGTCAGATCTGTTCATTCTTAACAGGACACGAGATACAACTGGCCCTTCTCTACCTCTGGGCAAGCTGTCTGCGTGTGTTGCTGGGACTCACAGGAGCATCTTGGTACCATGTCGGGAGCCGGGTCTCTGAGGCCAGGTTAATACACAGAGGGATGTGGGGCAGAAAACTGGAGAACTGGTGTCTCTTGATGATTATCATTGAGCAGATGAACTGACTATGCTTAGAACCTCTTAACCCCAAACTTCTTGTCACATTTGGTAATACTTTAGGCCACTGTAACTTGGATCTTAACTCCCTGTAGCCCAAAACATCCTGACAGGTGTAGGCATCACACAGATGTAAAGTTAGGCAGGAATGTATTATTTGTTCCTATAGACACTGATCTGTAAAAAAATGAGTGAAAATGCTTTTTTGACTAGGAGTATATCTTACCTATTGCTTTACTTGTAAAGGTGTTACAACCAATGCTAGAACCACTGAGATGCTCATATGGTACCTAGAAAATTAAACAGCAAGGACCTGCCTGCATCAGTCTAAGCTGAGATGATTCTCAAGGGCAGAGGCTCCCTCCCCTGTGTCTTGGCGCACACAGTTACGAACGCAGGACTGCTTTTCTGAATCAGTCCAACTGTGGGAACTGTTACTAAAAGACGTCAACGCAACAACATCCATAACATCCCTATGGCCTCAGATGCAGAGAGAGAGTAGCGGGAAACCCAAGAGGAGGCCCGAGACTTCAGGGAGGCTGTGAAATGCCCGCCAAACCCCCGCCAGAACATCAACCCCACTTAAAGTTCCACAGGAAGGCACATCTGACTGCTGGGCCCGAGGGAACAATTTCAGAAGCCCAGTGTCACATGCATGTTAATCAGACCCGTTCAGACATGCCCCTCCACGGGCCAGGTGACCTCCTCCTTTCTTACGGCTCAGGAGTGGAGTGCCCAGGGGCTGCTACAGTGATCAGACCACTGTTGTTTTGGGCCATTTATTCTCCGAGTCTCAAGTTTCCTCATGTGCAAAATAAATGTAATTATAGTGTCAGGCCTCTTAGGGTTATTATAAAGTTTAATGAGATAATCTACTTTATAGCCTAGCATGCAAATAATAAGGATTTACTAAGATACCAGTGCCACTGGGGCTCCTACCCCAAAATAGTCACATTTTCCCAGGAGAGGACAGTCTCCACATCAAAGAAGCAAAATGCAGCCTAGTTATGTGGTCTTAAGAGACATTTGCGCACTGAAAGGTGTCTTTTATTTCTCAGGGAGGTTCCCAGCCCAAATGTTCCTGGGCGACCTACCAACATATACATTACTATTTTCAGCCCGCAGGTTGGGATTCTCCGAGGAGGGTGCATAGATAAATTTTCCGGGACTTGACCCCTGCCACACAAGCTTCTTGACAAGGTATTTTAGGCATCATTACATTCTCTTAAAAGACGATGAGACAAGGCAAGGAGTTTACTATCCAGACAATCCATTTTTGCAGCCAAATTTGTTTTGAATTACCTTGTGCACATAACACTTACTACACTGTCATCCTGGAATCACATCACTGAGAGAGTTAGCGAGGTGATGACTCCGGTGCACGCCGTCAGCCAGCCGAGAATGACAACCTTTATTCCCGGGAGTAGCATTTCATGTACATTACACAAAACGGCGCTGATGATGGCTGCAATTACAGGCGGGATGTTCATCCCGTGACGTTTGGCCCAGTCAAATTAAATATCATTAACTCGCCCAATTGAGCAGATTGCTTTTAAAACAGTTTATGCAGCTCTAAAACCAAGTAAATGGAATGTTTTGGAAGAAGAAATGCTGATTGCAAACTTTATTATAAATTAAATGCTTTAGTTATTTAGTTATTCACCTAAGGCTCTGGATGGTCCCCTGGGATGTAGGTGCAATTAGGGTGGAAAATCCAACCAGTTTGTCTCAGGGCACACATCGCTGCTGCAAATATGACTGGACACTAAGGGACCTTAAAGAAGTCCTTTAGTGTAAGGTCTGCAGTGACAAGACAGACCGTGTTGCTGAGGGCATGGACTGATTCCTTCCTGGTTGTCTTTAAGCCTGGGTACCAGGACTGTGGCTCTTTGAAGTGCTCATGACGATGTTTTCCACAGTCCTGAGAACTAAGCAAAGCTTGTGTGTTTTTCCACTTTGGGGTAGATTTCATTGAATATCCATCTGTCCATCTTTCACTCATTCACCATTTACTGAGGTTATTTAGTGAGACTTGTTCCCCTCCTGGCTGATGAGATGCTACTTGGAAACATTTCTTGGGGAAAAAATGAGGCCATAGCACGTGGGAGCCACTTAAGAAATGGTCAGATGGAGTGCACTGTGGGTAGCACTTCACTGTGGCATCTTACTGAGGGATTTGATCTGGTCGAGGAGGCCAGGTCGATCTGAGACTATGCACACTGGAGCACTAATTGAGCCCATGACCTAGAAACAGTCTTGGTTTTCA